TTTAAGCTAACAGACCTGTTGCTATTACAGCAACTCCGAGATGAGCTTCGAAGAACCAAACAATCCAAGATCAGGCGAAATCGTCAACAATCAAATCCAGCTAACTGAGTTAGCGACGTACAAAGAACGGGCCCCAGGCCTTCTGATAAAATGAGCTTGTCAGCAAAGAGCTGGTGGCTGGCCTTCTTGTCCATGATTAGAGGCGATGGCAGCTGTGGAACTGCCTTCTTGGCTGTGACAGGGAGAACACGTATGAAATTAATTAATCACTTTCTTTCTATATTGTGTGAATTTGGTTTGACTGATTTCACTTACACTGCATGTGGCTAACCTTAGCCCAGACATGCTGACAGACAGTTCTTTTTTTAAATGCGTATGTTGCGGTAATGAAACTTCCCAAACGTAGCATTTTCATGAAATGAAACTTTTGGTAGCCCTCAAATGTGATTACACAACATTTCATCCAAGTTTCACAGTTGACTTGATTTGGTCGTTATTTAAAGGAAAAGATGTTTTGTAACTCAACCCATTTGAGAACTGTGTTCTTGTCGCTGCTGTTCGCAATATTTCCAGCAAAAGAAGAATCATGTACCTTCTATGGCCTCTGCTGTTTCTTCACGTTTCAGCACAACATCTGACCCTGTATGGTTAGTAAATAAAAACTTGCTTTTAAAATGATTTCAAAAAAATGACTGCATGTCACTATTATATCTACATTTCTGTCTTCTTCTAAATCTTCTGTCACTGGCTGAAGATGACAGACTAAAGCAGCCAAAGCAGGAGGGCAGAGTGCGATTGGTGGGGGATCTGCCGTCATCTGGTCGTGTGGAGGTCTACCATGATGGACAGTGGGGTACAGTTTGTGATGACGGATGGGAACTGGCTGAAGCACAAGTGGTGTGTCGTCAGCTGGGTTTTCCTGGAGCAATATCAGTTAAGCCTGGAGGACAATATGGAGAAGGTATAAGCTCCACAGCACAGTTTATTTGTTACACACTGTGATCAGTGTTGCCAGATTGGATGGACGATTTCCAGCCCAAAAGCTCACAAAAACCTGCCCAAAAACCACCCAAAACTTTAACTGTCAAAAATAATGTTATAGAATATGTAAATCAAGGTTGATAAGGGCCATTTTAACTCCTTAAAACAAAATATTGACGACAAAATCATATAAATTATAAATAAGATAAATTTCGCAGGTAAACGGATCGAATCGGGGCGAATAGCCTACATTAAAGAGAATTAGGCTACCAAACATGAATAAAATATGCAAGCAGACACTGTCAAAACGGCAATCATGAAATTAACCGATCTTGAATAAACAGTCATACTACATTCAAAATCAGATACGTTATAACTTATCACGCTAAAAACTTGTCACTCATGAATCATAACGTCTGACTGCTGAGCCCTCGTGATAAGTGCGGCTGTCGACGTTTACATCAGCACCAGCGCCAGCGCCTCTGCAGTGTGTGTGTGTGTGTGTGTGTAGTAACGTTATGATGACTGATTGGATGCAGTATACATACATGCAATTTATTGAAAACCGCCAAACTGACCCCAAACCAGCCCAAATTTTGTCCACCTGCCCAAGCCAATTTTTACCCGCACAATCAAATTCAAAACCGCCCAACAATCTGGCAACACTGACTGTGATAACAATAATTGTCTTATATTTTTAATCCAAATTCTATTTTTTTTTTTTTTTTTAGGCTCTGGTCCAATCTGGCTGGATGACACGAACTGTAAAGGCTCGGAGAGCTCATTGTCTGAATGCAGCTTCAAAGGCTGGGGTGTTACTGACTGCTCACATAAAGAGGATGCAGGAGTGGACTGTGAGACTGGTAAGAAACTCAGCAACTACATATATTCGCATGTGTATTTCTGTTATTTGTATTATTTAATGCATTTCATTATATTTTCTTTGCAGGTAAAAACATAACCAGCAATCGTCAGTTCTCTGTGGATAACAGTCTGGGTTTGTCTGATGATCTTGGCCTTTTGTTTGACAGTGGAGATGGTTGTGATTTCAGAATCAACGTACAAGACGTCAGTGAAGAGTCAGAACTGACATTCTGTGTGCACAGCATGATCCTCAAGTTTTATCCAGAACTAAACATAACAAATGATTCCAGAAACCTCGCAGTGAATGTCAGCCAGACCTGCCATCCTCATGTCTCTGCTTTTCTCAGGTAACTTTCTAAAGACCACATCACTTCATAGCTCAAACCATCTGTCTCATTGAGAATTTGAATTGTGCAGATCAGAACTGATTATATTATTGGTGTTAGACACTTACAGTATCTGTTTTTGCTCAGGTATTTGTACACACGTCAGATTGAGTCTTGTTCTGCAGGAGAACGTCCTTCAGTATCTTTCCTGGAACTGTGAGTACCTCATAAGCTCTCCAGTGTGGAGCACCATCTCCTTTCACATGATGGATGCTCTGCTGCAGCGCTCAGACCTGATTTTGAGGAATGAAGCTTTACTTCTTGAAGCTCTGGAGAGATGGATCCAAGACAAAGGTGATGAGATTAGCTCAGATCAGCAAGCAAGTCTCCTGAATCACATCCGCTTCCTCTTGATCCCAGTGGATAAACTCTATGAAATGCAGTTTTCCTCAAGCGTTCTCCATCAGAATCATGAGAAACTGTACCTAACTGGTCTGCTCAGAGGTTTTCAGTTCAATGCTCTGCCTTTCTCTAAGATCAGGAATCAAATGGATAACATGAGTAGTGAGTATCTACCCAGAATCTACACTGGAGATGAGTGGAGTGTTATTATCAATGACACAACTGTCAATTACCCATACTATCACTATGGCCAAAATAACAGAATACAAACCTTCTCCACTCCAGCACACCCTAGTGCTCTTTACAGAGAACAAAAGGTCCAGTGGCAAGCCCAGGTGTTTCTTAGTGCTCAGGAATGCTCTAACAATCGTATTTCGTGTTATTCTTTTCCTGTTGCAAGGTTTGTCGGATATGGCAATCAGGAAAGATACACTAGCACCATTCGCTACAGCAACAGATTGATTCTCAGCTGTAAGTATGAAAACAATGTCTTTCATGTTCAAGATTTCAAAAACAGCATGGCAGTGGTTCCAAATAACAGCAGTATGGATCTGCCAAACCCCTGTCCTGATGACTACAGTTTTAGATTTGTAGTGCGTCCAGAGTATATCTGACTGCACAGGCATTTCAGTATATTCAAATCTAGTTTAATCAAATCTATTAAATTAGAGTTTTTAAAATTTTTTATTAATGTTACTCATTCTGCAGTGATTTCTCTCAAATGTTTCAGTTGATTTTAAATTTTTCATTTAAATATTGTCACAATAAAAATGCTTAATTTTGAAAGTGCACTTCAGAAATGAAATACAAATATTTCTTACATTATCTCTGTCAGTGTAATTCCTCTTTGACTGACCAGTGTTAATTGTTAAGATTTATTTGTTTAAATTTTTGTATTTATTAAATATAACTAGCCTCATCAAAATTTATTAAATTATCAGTTAATAATTTAAAATCATTAAATTGTAAAAAAAACTAACATTAAAACCATTAAAAATAATAATAATAAATAAAAAACTTGCTACGTGTACTGCGTTTGGCTAACTGACACTTATCACAGCACTTACATATTAGGTATTGCTCTTTTGTTGGTTTTGATTGCTTCAATTGTCATTTGTAAGTCGCTTTGGATAAAAGTGTCTGCTAAATGCCTAAATGTACATGAAAATAATCAGTGAATGTCAGTTTATTAATGAATGTGAATTAGTGAAGGTTCAAAGTGGGCCACTTTTATCTAGCACCTTCAGCCAAAGTATGCCAGCAATATTCACCTTACAATAAAAACAAACCATTTTTAACAAATCCTTTGTGCTTTAATTCACGTTAACAAAAAACACAAGTACTGTCACAATAATATTTGTTTTAGCGAGGAACCTTACAAGTTTGAAATACAGATCTGAATGTCAAAGAGATTACATTTAATGAGTTCTCCTTTGAGATGGGTTCACACCCTCCAGTGTCATACAACATCATCCAAAACAGTTTTCTTATTCTAAGAAACAGTGTCCCTTTGATAAAAGACCATTGTTATACTCTGAAAGTGTAAATCATTTGAGCACAGTACAATCAATCTTAAACAGCCCATTTTACCTGAATTCACCCTCTATCAATTTATTAAAATTATGTGTTAAGTATTGCAACAGGTGTTGCTTTGTCCTCTTAGTCAAAAAAAGATTCTTTATTGTCCAGCTGTTAATTAATGTCCACCCTGTTCAAATTGAGATGACAGTGGACCATAAAAGGGTTGGCAAAAGGGTGGACCATAAAAAGTCATTACATTTACATTTATTCATTTTGCAATAGCTTTTCTTGTAAAAGACTTGTGAGTACTTTATGAAACTTTTGTTGTACTGTAACTCTTGAATTTCTGTTCAGATCCAAAATTTACAGTTATCAGTACATAAAAGCCCATGTATAATAATATACGTGACAATAATCTGCAGCAATCCTGAGTGTTTCAGCTGCGTCATGCTCAAATCCGTTTCAAAGCCAGGTCCGGTCACAGAAGTCACTGGAATGCCAACACCCAGATTCAAAAGGTCTTGTGGAAAGGAATAAAATAAAAAAGAAAACAGTCAGGTTTATTTGAGCAAAGACTTGTACATACACCAGTGCTGAGAAATGGCTTGAGAACCTCCTCTTTGCATTGTATGAAAGGTTTTTGTAGCAAACTCAAACAGGCACGCTGTAGTTATTCAGGTTTCCTGATTTTGCTTTCTCGTGAAATGAAACTTAAGGTAGACTTTAAATGTGATTGGACAGAGGTAGATCATGTAAGCAATATCTCACAATGCTTGACCTCATTTAGCAGATATTTAATGAAAGCAAGACTGTTTGTAAGTCTTCAATAAGAACCTTCATGAATTGTGTTCATCCTGCTTTGTTGTTTTAAAGAGTTTCCAGCAAGAACATGATCATGTATATTTTATGGACATATTTTTCCATGTGTCAGCACAGCGTTGGATCCTGTTTGGTTAGTAGCCTATATACCACTGTTTTAAAATTACATAATGTCATTTGCATTTGTACTTTCTTTATAAATATTACACAAAAATGCACGTGTCTGCAAATATAAGACTATAGTACTACTTTAGGGATTGGTGCTGAAGTCTGCAGGAATGTGGCTCTCCAGGACCGACATTGGCCAGTCCTGGAGAGCTACAGACTTCAGCGCCAACCATAATCAAACATGGCTAAAAAAGCGAATACATTTCTAAGGGTTACCAAAAAGCTACAGGCAAGGTGAGTTTTTATCAAGTGTAGAGTCTGCGTAGGATCATGTACGATCATTTGGGTTTTATGGCTTAAGATACCCCTTTTAGCCTTTGACATTTGCATATAAATTACAGTTCTTGGCCACAGATTCTACATTTATATGGGTGCTAAATTGTCAAATGGTTCCCCCCACTATCAAGGAGATGCTAAGCAGTCTACCACTATCATCTCCCCAAGCAAGTCTCCTGAATCACATCCGCTTCCTCTTGATCCCAGTGGATAAACTCTATGAAATGCAGTTTTCCTCAAGCGTTCTCCGTCAGAATCATGAGAAACTGTACCTAACTGGTCTGCTCAGAGGTTTTCAGTTCAATGCTCTGCCTTTCTCTAAGATCAGGAATCAAATGGACAACATGAGTAGTGAGTATCTACCCAGAATCTACACTGGAGATGAGTGGAGTGTTATTATCAATGACACAACTGTCAATTACCCATACTATCACTACTACCATGGCCAAAATAACAGAATACAAACCTTCTCCACTCCAGCACATCCTTGTGCTCTTTACAGAGAACAAAAGGTCCAGTGGCAAGCCCAGGTGTTTCTTAGTGCTCAGGAATGCTCTAACAATCGTATTTCGTGTTATTCTTTTCCTGTTGCAAGGTTTGTCGGATATGGCAATCAGGAAAGATACACTAGCACCATTCGCTACAGCAACAGATTGATTCTCAGCTGTAAGTATGAAAACAATGTCTTTCATGTTCAAGATTTCAAAAACAGCATGGCAGTGGTTCCAAATAACAGCAGTATGGATCTGCCAAACCCCTGTCCTGATGACTACAGTTTTAGATTTGTAGTGCGTCCAGAGTATATCTGACTGAACAGAGTTATATTTGGCTTCAGCTAGTTTCCTGCAGTAACAGTCATTCCAGTATATTCATATCTAGTTGAATCAAATATATTAAATTCAGTCAAGTTTTTTTAAATTGTTATTTGATTCTGCAGTGATTTCTCTTAAATGTTTCAGCTGATTTTAAACTTTTCATTTAAACACTGTAGCAATAAAAATGCTTCATTTTGAAAGTGCACTTCAAAAAATACATTATCTCTATCAGTTTGATTCCTCTTTGACTGACCAGTGTTAATTGTTAAGATTTATTTGTTTAAATTTTTGTATTTATTAAATATAACTAGCCTCATCAAAATTTATTAAATTATCAGTTAATAATTTAAAATCATTAAATTGTAAAAAAAACTAACATTTAAAACCATTAAAAATAATAATAATAAATAAAAAACTTGCTACGTGTACTGCGTTTGGCTAACTGACACTTATCACAGCACTTACATATTAGGTATTGCTCTTTTGTTGGTTTTGATTGCTTCAATTGTCATTTGTAAGTCGCTTTGGATAAAAGTGTCTGCTAAATGCCTAAATGTACATGAAAATAATCAGTGAATGTCAGTTTATTAATGAATGTGAATTAGTGAAGGTTCAAAGTGGGCCACTTTTATCTAGCACCTTCAGCCAAAGTATGCCAGCAATATTCACCTTACAATAAAAACAAACCATTTTTAACAAATCCTTTGTGCTTTAATTCACGTTAACAAAAAACACAAGTACTGTCACAATAATATTTGTTTTAGCGAGGAACCTTACAAGTTTGAAATACAGATCTGAATGTCAAAGAGATTACATTTAATGAGTTCTCCTTTGAGATGGGTTCACACCCTCCAGTGTCATACAACATCATCCAAAACAGTTTTCTTATTCTAAGAAACAGTGTCCCTTTGATAAAAGACCATTGTTATACTCTGAAAGTGTAAATCATTTGAGCACAGTACAATCAATCTTAAACAGCCCATTTTACCTGAATTCACCCTCTATCAATTTATTAAAATTATGTGTTAAGTATTGCAACAGGTGTTGCTTTGTCCTCTTAGTCAAAAAAAGATTCTTTATTGTCCAGCTGTTAATTAATGTCCACCCTGTTCAAATTGAGATGACAGTGGACCATAAAAGGGTTGGCAAAAGGGTGGACCATAAAAAGTCATTACATTTACATTTATTCATTTTGCAATAGCTTTTCTTGTAAAAGACTTGTGAGTACTTTATGAAACTTTTGTTGTACTGTAACTCTTGAATTTCTGTTCAGATCCAAAATTTACAGTTATCAGTACATAAAAGCCCATGTATAATAATATACGTGACAATAATCTGCAGCAATCCTGAGTGTTTCAGCTGCGTCATGCTCAAATCCGTTTCAAAGCCAGGTCCGGTCACAGAAGTCACTGGAATGCCAACACCCAGATTCAAAAGGTCTTGTGGAAAGGAATAAAATAAAAAAGAAAACAGTCAGGTTTATTTGAGCAAAGACTTGTACATACACCAGTGCTGAGAAATGGCTTGAGAACCTCCTCTTTGCATTGTATGAAAGGTTTTTGTAGCAAACTCAAACAGGCACGCTGTAGTTATTCAGGTTTCCTGATTTTGCTTTCTCGTGAAATGAAACTTAAGGTAGACTTTAAATGTGATTGGACAGAGGTAGATCATGTAAGCAATATCTCACAATGCTTGACCTCATTTAGCAGATATTTAATGAAAGCAAGACTGTTTGTAAGTCTTCAATAAGAACCTTCATGAATTGTGTTCATCCTGCTTTGTTGTTTTAAAGAGTTTCCAGCAAGAACATGATCATGTATATTTTATGGACATATTTTTCCATGTGTCAGCACAGCGTTGGATCCTGTTTGGTTAGTAGCCTATATACCACTGTTTTAAAATTACATAATGTCATTTGCATTTGTACTTTCTTTATAAATATTACACAAAAATGCACGTGTCTGCAAATATAAGACTATAGTACTACTTTAGGGATTGGTGCTGAAGTCTGCAGGAATGTGGCTCTCCAGGACCGACATTGGCCAGTCCTGGAGAGCTACAGACTTCAGCGCCAACCATAATCAAACATGGCTAAAAAAGCGAATACATTTCTAAGGGTTACCAAAAAGCTACAGGCAAGGTGAGTTTTTATCAAGTGTAGAGTCTGCGTAGGATCATGTACGATCATTTGGGTTTTATGGCTTAAGATACCCCTTTTAGCCTTTGACATTTGCATATAAATTACAGTTCTTGGCCACAGATTCTACATTTATATGGGTGCTAAATTGTCAAATGGTTCCCCCCACTATCAAGGAGATGCTAAGCAGTCTACCATTATCATCTCCCCAACTGACTTCAAACAGTTTCCAAAGAGAAGTAAAATTGTACCATATTTTGGGTAAAAACTGCACCAATCCTCCAGACCGGCCATATACATGCAAATGGGACATAAAGGGAGACAAAGAAAACTTCTCCCGTTCAAAAATTCACGCCTGGTATTGGTTATTCCACCCAAAAGGTGGGTGTGAATAGGAACTCTCAAAAGTAATTTGCTCGCACTGATCTTTGCTCAGAAACCTCTTCTTTTGAGACGACACTATCCAAGACTCCTCAAGACTCTCCTCTTGAGTTTGATTTTCCGGCAGTTTTTATCTTCAAGTAACTTCGATTTGCTGTGGACTTTCCTATCTTCAGAAGAAGACAAAGAAAACTTCCAGCTCACTTCT